TAGGCAACCAAAAGTTGTACGTGTGACTAGTTGTACTCTCGTTATACTGATGTAATATGTAAGCCAGTCTTCGGACAACCCACCTGTTTGAACTAATAAAGTGCCAGGGGCCTAAGTGGTCACCTTAATATTAAAAAAAAAAAAATATATATATATAGATATGTGATTAAAGAATTTACTAGTAAAAGGTCCAACTCGGTTAACTAACCCAAGCTTTTTCTCAGCCAAAATTTTTTCATTTCTCATACCTAGAAATGTTAAAAGTCCAGTCCGGTCCAGTCCGACTCCATGAGTCGAGTTTTAATCTAGACTCAGTCCCGAGTCAGACTTGGGACCGAGTCCCAATAATCTTATAGTAATAATCACATGCAATAACGTGATATAATTGAACCAATCAGAAATTGCCCAGAGGTCCATCGAAAATTACTATCACATGATATTATTGTCATGTGATAGTAATTTTCTATGGACCTCTGGGCAATTTCTGATTGGTTCGCGTTATTGCATGTGATTATTACTATGAGATTACTGGGACTCGGTCCCAAGTCTGACTCGGGACCGAGTCTAGATTAAAACTCGACTCATGGAGTCGGACCGGATCGGACTGGACTGGACTTTTAACATCCTTATCCATACCAATATCCCGTACATAGAATCACTATACCTTTTTTGGATTATATCTATCTCAAAATAGATCGCTAATAATCATACTACATCTTTTACTCATAAATTGATCGCCAAAAGTTATAAGGTATAACAGATATATATTAAATTTAGAAGCCATGCACCGCCACAAGCTTAATATTTTAACCGCCAGAAAAAGATTCGTATAAACTTGTAATATTTTAGAACGTAAATACTTAAGTGTATTTTAATTAATACATTTATTCCTTATATCAATCAAAACAGATCTAAATCAACTTACTAATTCAGACAGATGGATCTATCTTTGCTTTATTGGACAGAATCCACAATGTATGACCAGCCTAACGATTAAAAGCTACCCGAAAAAGTACGTACGTACGTACACATATCAATTTGAACATGTGAACATGCTATCCAATAGTATGCAAGATTTGCACACAGATAGTTTTCAAACCATACACTTCGTACTACGTTCCTGGTAATGTAAAAATCTTAACTCCTTCCAAAAATGAACAAATGAAAATCATTACGTACGTACGTACGTACATACAAGGTTTCTGTGAAAATCAGCATATCCCCCTCACATTTCATGTTACACATTCATATGATCGACCGATATTTATATAGATGAAACATGATTTATTACCAATTATATCCTGATATCAGTTAAATTCATAGCCATATCGGGCTATAATAATAATTTGAAAATAAAAAACCGGAGACATATCGAAACCCGATATGTCTCCGGTTTTTGTCTAATTCTTATATAACAAAATAAAAAATAATAATGAAATACATACAATTTAAATATATCTTTAAAATTCAAACCAACCAATACGTTTGCATTAAGAATGAAAGGAGAAACTACGGGATAGGAAAATCACCTGATGATTTAAATAAAAATGAACATTGTGACATTATTTTAGAAAATTTTATAATTAAATAAATCAATGAAGTATGCTTAAATAAATAAAATAAAATAAAGAAATAAATCATGTTAACATTCCAGATTGATCCAAACACTGATATCTGCACAAAAATGTGCTCTTGGAGAGATATACTGAAAAAAAAAGTGCGTTCTACGTATTTAATACGTTTTCTACCTATGCATAATAACGCAAATACCTGTTTTTTATATCGATATTGTACATAAATTGCGTAATTTAAAAAATTTACCTATTTTGAACGATTGATCAATTTCTGACCCGACCCGGGTAATAACTCTACCTCCTGCATGAGTTCTAATGATTCAAATTTATGATCTCGATCTTCCGAAATAATTTGATCGGATGGGTCGGATATTGCTTACTGGTTATAAGCGTGATTTTCTCAAAATTAGGGATTTACCGATTTGCTGGATTTATGTTGGTTCACCCCAATTGTTGCGGAAATGTTTTGCCTAAGAAAAGGATTGTAATATCAAATATATGTCTCATCGAAAAAAATGTGCTGTAGATGAAATAGCATGTTGACATTACGGTGTCGAAGAGATGAGTTAGCGGGGAAGTAACTTTCGGAGAATCATACCGTAATCCCGTAACTGCCATATACAAGACCATCCCATATATCAGGGTTGTCGCTCAATTCCCCGAAAGAAATTTACTCGCCAACACATTTCTCTGACACCGCAATGCCGACATGATATTTTATTAACAGTACATTTTTTCGATAAGACATATATTCGACATTACGTATTTTCGGCAATACTTTTCTTAGATAAGGCATTTCCCCGACAATCATTTCTTCGACATAAAAATTGACCGATTTAGCCTGATGTCGGTTAGGATTATATGTTGGGAAATTACTGCTAGGAAATGTCTTGTCTAAGAAAAGGATTGTCAAAAAAATGTAATGTCAAACATATGTCTTATTAAAAAAAAGTGCTGCAGATGAAATATCATGTCGACATTATGGTGTCGAGGAAATGTGTTGGCGGGTAAATGGTTTTCGGGGAATCGTGCCGTAACCTACATCAGACCGCCGATAGACCCGGGTGTAAATCGTAAAATCTACAATAATCAAATGTAGTTTTTATAAAAATTTGATTGCTTATGCTCTTTAAATTTTTTCCTCTAATGATATATCTCTCCATCATGTATAGATCCGGGCCCGACAAAGGCTTTAATACTGGTGAAATGTAAGAGACCCAGGTCTCAGTTTACGATAGTTTACTGCATTTGCACTACGCATATCTTGTTATAATCTGTAATAGCAAAAAGGAATTTTAAAAGAATAAAATACAATCGTTTTTATAACTTGCGTAATGTTTAATATAATTGGTTATTTATTACCAAGATTCTTTGCATTAGCTGTTATAAAGTTTAATCCAATTTTGGTATTTTTGTATACTGTACGACGGTTTCATATCACTTTATGATATTCATTTGTAGACACACACTTCACCGGCAGTTAACTCATAAAATTTATTTTACAGACAATCAATTCGCATCAAGTTTATTTCATAGAGTTTATATATTCATGACAGTCACCAACAGCTCAAGTTTTATGAACATTGGTGCTGCAAGTGGGACAGAATTTTTATAAATATGACAGTGAAGATGCTTTTCAACTGTGTGTAATTGTTTTTTCTAATACATTTTCGGCTATGTTTCTTGTCTACAATGTAAGATTTTCCCTAACTTGTTGGCCTATAACATTTGCTGTGGTTTTAATTAAAGCACCAGGCTTTTAACCGCATCTCCTATTTTCAATTTTTAGGCTTTAGTATATTCGGAGTGGCCAAATTTAACCCGACTCTGGATTTCATTTGCATAACGTATTACTTTTTAATCAAAGTGTATAAATTTTGGTGTTGTTGTTTTGATATATCTCCTTTAATTTGTGCCAATTTTTTCTTGGGAAGTCTTGGATAGAAATTCATATTAAGGAGTATGATAAAATAACGTACAAAGTTTGGTTTAAATGTACTGTATTTCGATTGGACGATTTCATGATACATTTCGCGTGATTATTATTATGTAACTATTTTTTAAACGTTATCAAAATAACTAATAATTTTAATACGAATTATAGATTAAAATTACAAACATAAAAAGCTATCATTATGAAACCTTATCAAAAAAAAAAAAAAAAAATTAAATTAGAACTCATTATCTTCTCTTTTTTATCTGCTTTTGTTATCCTTTTTTTTTTCTTTTACTATTAAAACTTCTTGTTTTCCTTCGTTTGTTATAAAGTTTGCATAATTAATTTTTTTTTTATGTAGGTATGCCTTCGATTATAAACATTAATATTCATACGCAAGGATAAATTTGGAAGAAACATATTATGAAACTGTTGGTAAATGTAAACATTGTAACTATAATATATTTTTTTTACAATGTCCGTTATAATCACAATTAGATACTAATTATCAGTTATAACAAATAATATAAATAATTTATAGATAACGGAATTAGATTTTAAATTATATTCTTGGATAAGTTCTAAAAAAGATTTCATTCACAGCAGGGGTACACAAACACATTAGGAGGTTGAATATGATTCAATAAATGTCTTATTTTCTCTCAGCAATTGGATATCCCTCGGCAATTGGATATCCCTCAGCAATTGGATATGATCTCTCAGCAATTGGATATCCCTCAGCAATTGGATATCCCTCAGCAATTGGATATGATCTCTCAGCAATTGGATATGAATCGGTTTCTCCCTCAGCAATTGGATATGATCTCTCAGCAATAGGATATGAATCGGTTTCTCCCTCAGCAATTGGATATGATCTCTCAGCAATAGGATATGAATCGGTTTCTCCCTCAGC